ATCTCAAAGTCTCGCGACTTGTCGAAATTCCCCCAGCTAATTATTTCCGAAGTCGTTTTATTCTGACGCTACACGGTGAACAGACAGAAAAAGGGGCGGGGATAACGGAAACACCGCACCAGTTTTATTTAATTCAATCTTTAAAAGTTTTAACTAAGGAGGACTTCGCAGACATCGGTTACCGCCACCCTCTATACCCTCCCCCCTCATCACTGTCTCTCTTTCCCACCCTAGCTCTTCTATTCTCTTGTCCTCACTCCTTCTCCACCTCCTCACGACCTCGCACTTCCACTATCCTCGCGACATTGCCCGAATTTTGAACATTAGTTTGCGAACCATTTAGCACAACTACTCGGTCCTCTGCGAGCGCACTTCGAATCACGGCACATACATCGGCCGTGCAGCTTAAACCGCAATGCTTAGTACCGTAGCACTCGCAGTGCAGTCATTGTACATTATGCTACGCGGAGTCTTCATCCCCCCCCCCTTCTCGGGCGTATAACAGCGTTCCGCGAGTCATGTGCGAAGATAATTAGGAGAAAAAAGCAATTACACACTTTCAGCGACGTTACCGCGAATTGAAGCAACTTCGCGAAAAGGAAGAATGTTCGTTTTTCCACGAGACTTGTGCTCTGCTCGACGCACGAGACAGTTCAACGACTGGCTGGGAAAATTTTCAACCGTTACATACCGCGAAACGCGACCCTTGTTTTCGGTGGCAGAGTGTTACTCCGAGAAAACAGTATTTATTTCAATTAACCCTTATTTATCTTTTTTTTTATATTTTCTACTTGCAATATTTCATCGATACAATTGCCCTTTTTAAAATTAGAAATAATTTAAAACTAGGCTAGTTTGCAGACGTAAAAAGAGTAAAGAGAAATTCATATCTTCATATCTTCTCGATGAAGTTGTTCGTTATTTGAATAATCTAATTGACGTTTAGTATGCCCATCTTTGGCCTTGATTAAACATTCTATGCCAGGGATGGTGAACCTATGGCACGTAGCCCAAGATGGCACGCGACACCATTTGATTTGAACACAACCGAATTCTAAATAATATTTAAATTGATCCATGAATCTCTCTAAAGAATGATATCTTGGATCGAATAGTAGTTAATAAAATGTTAATCTACAAAAATAGGTTCTAAAATTTCATTGAACTCGTCAGTGACAATATTAATACGGCGATGTCTGTAGATTTTAATGTTAGGAGATACCAATTTGTATATGCAGAAATTGGCATGCAATTTCACGAATCCGTGTCGAGTTTCAGGCATGGAAAATATGTTGGCATATTGATGGGAAAATATCTACGCAGCTTATTAAAAAACCGTCTCCCTTCAAGAGCCATTCAACATTGCACAGTATGATAGAGAAATGTAAACAATCATAGTTAGGTACCGAATAACGATCGAAATGATAACAGTGACTCTGCCTTTCTTAAGATGTTCAGTAATCAATGAGACGACATCGAAGCACGTCTCCTTATTCTAGCCCGCTTCGTATATTTCCTCTAAAGTACAATTTTAAAAGGGTGTACAAAATATTTTTGTAACTTCGTAAAAGAAGCATTTGAAACTGTTTAGGAACACCCTATAATTAGGTCACAATTTAAAAATTAAGCAATATTCAAATGTAACAAACTGTACGACGTTAATTTATTCTTCTACATACAGGGTGTTCGGCCACCCCTGGAAAAAATTTTAATGGGGTATTCTAGACGCCAAAATAAGACGAAAATCAAGAATACCAATTTGTTGATGGAGGCTTCGTTAAAAAGTAATTAACGTTTGAAGTTCCACCCGTACTGAATTTTTTTCTCGAAAATGCGCAGGATTTCGGGGGTATGTCTATTCACCAAAATTGATTGCAATTGACCCCCGCAATCGAAAATAATTTTTCCAGAACGATTTGAAATTTTTTTTTTTGTTGCAAAATTTTAAACATTCTCGAATTTTTTTCTCGAAAGTGGATAGGATTACGGGGGTATGTCTATTCACCAAAAATTATTGCAATTGATTCCCGCAATAGAAAATAATTTTTCCAGAACGATTTGAAATTTTTTTTTTCGCCGAAAAATTTTAGCACCTACCCGATTTTTTTTTTCGAAACTGGATAGGATTACGAACGTATGTGTATTCACCAAAAATGATTGTAACTGACTCCCGCAACAAACAGTAATTTTTTTAGAAAGATTTGAAATTTTTTTATTTCGTCGAATAATTTATCCACTTATTCAATTTTTTTCACGAAACTGGTTAAGAATTCCGGGGTATGTCTATTCACCAAAATTGATTGCAATTGACCTCCGCAATCGAAAATAATTTTTTCAGAATGATTTGAAATTTTCGAATTTAATTGTTAATAACTTTTTAACGAAGCCTCCATCAACAAATTGTTATTCTTGATTTTGAGCAACAAAAGCTATTTGAAGAATACACCAATTTTTTTTCAAAAATATTAACCATTGAAAATAATTTTTGAATGAAAAATTATTAGATTAAATTCGAGCGTACCGCTTTTATATTTTATATTCCGAACCGTAAAAACACTGTGTCTGTCAATTAATCGACACGCTGCTTCTTTTCAATATTATAAAGGGGCGCAATTCCACGCTGCGCTTAATCGTTTAAAAGTGACATTTACGTTAGTTAATTGAAGCTGGATGCATCATTCCAGAAATATCGGGCATCTTTCGCTACCGAAGAAAATTGGCTTCAATCAAGAGGAAAAGAGAGCTCTTTGCGCTTATGCAAGCTCAATAGTGTCATTAAACCGCGTCCGCGCTCTACAAGTGCTTCATTTTATAAATGATTCTCCCCGAGTCCGAGAAATCTGTCAAGAAATTATTCGAGGTGTATGAATTCCTGTAAAGAATCAAGCATCCTCTGTTCGCCGGCTTTAAATGCCTCCTAACGATGCAAACTAATTTAAATTCGACGTAAACTCGTCACACTTGTACCGCCGCTTCGTAATTCCGTGCAAAACGCGGATGACTCGTCTCGATATTTAATTTACAGCGAATGAAAAATTTTTACAAACTTCTAAAACGTTCGTCCATTCGTCGATACTCTTATCCAAAACTCGAGCCCGTTCGCTTTTCGCGTCCACGTTCAAACAAAAGAAATTAACCTCTATCCTCGCTCAAACAGAGGGAGAACTCGAAAATTAAAAATTTTAATGAAACCGCTCCGTTGTTTTGCCCGTTCGTTAGACCGTTAATATTAAATCTGTTTCTACGCCGTTGCAGCAAAAAGCAATGGTAATGAAAATAAAAATAAAAAAGGGGGAACAATTACTTACCGCGCACCACACGCGTGACGGAGTTTAATATTGAACCGTGTCAGCCAATGACCCGATGATCTGAGCGCATAACTGTTGCTCTTCCCGAGATGATGCTCCGACCAAGCACCAGCACGTACGTGGAGGAGTGCCGCGTACCGTACTAACGGACAGACGGTGCGCGACTGTGCTCCGAAACCCTCGCAATCTCCCTTTTATGGGCTTTCTCACAGCGCGTTCACCCGTACATCGACTCTCGCTACTTGACTGCTCGACCCTTTGCCCCTCGACGGATCGCACATTTTCCCAAAAAACGCACCCTGTCGTCCTTGCAAAATTCCATTCCGTCGGGCACAATCTCATCTGTGATTTCGAAAATTACAATTTTCACTAACACTATGTGGTAAAATATTCTAGCTTGACGTTTTGGAAAAATCAATCTTCAAAACTATCATACGTTCTCATGTGAAAAAATTTATGTAACTTAGCAAGGTATGTATAAATAACGGTGCAAAGTGTCAAACTTTTATCTTAAGTAGTTTTTCTTTTATAAAATTTCAAAAATATCCTTGTTTTTTCTAATAAAAAAATAAGTAAATAACTCGAAAAACAAGAATACCATCTTAACCCTAGAATAGCATATTTTGTTCAAAATACTACAGAATGAAAAAAATAAATTTAAATTTTTGTGTTTCCAAACAAAAATAATGATTATAAACAACATTGACACTGACAACAGTGATATTAATGAACGAGATAATGAATTTGGTATTCTGAGGTTAAGGGAACTTTGAAATGATTTGAAAATGATTGTTAACTTTTTCTGAAAGTTTAAAGTACCTACTAAGAATGTGTTTGTAGAATTTGAAGTCACAATTCAAAAGATTGTGATCGGTAGAGCCATTCCAAGCGGAGCATACGCAAGTGGATTCATGGTGCAGCAGAGACCCGCGGAAACCGAGCAAAAATTGGATGTTTACCATCGCCCTGCTCCTCCTTCAAACAAAGTCCAAAAAGTTTTGCGTCCTATATACGAAAACCTCGCATCTGATGACCCGATAAAAGGATGCTTAGGCAATGTTCTCTGATAAATTCGCCCCGTGGCAGCACTTTTCGTCTGTAAAAATAAATCTAAGTCGTAATTTTCTTGTTTCCACGTCTCTTCGACAAAGGTCCCGATTTTCTTAATAGCAGAGGTCATTGAACTTAAAATGATTTCTAAACTAAAATAATGGTTGACGATAATATGAAAGGACAATAAATATGTACAACTCACCAAGGTCACTCGAAATTTTCCAGGGAGACAAGGAGGGGACGTAGGAACGGAAGTGCAACTGAAACGGAAGGCTTACTGTAATAGTATGTCTCTGAAATAACTGGTTATTTCTCAATTGTTGGTCTACTTTGCACGGATACTCATATCAATTAACAATCCTTTTATTCCTTTTATTTCGGAGCTCTTGAAAAAGAAGTTACAGCGTACGCCGCCATTCGGCCATGTTGGATGGCGGGAAAATCTTCCTAGCAGCGCCATCTAGTCTTCAATATTTTTGGTTAGAAACTTACACATAAACTACACAAAATATAAGAACGATCAGGGGGAAAAAATGTTCGAGTACCATGGGTCACGTCGATTAAAATGAGAAAAATGTTTTATTTCGTAATTTCTATGTACAATAGGAATTCACGTAAAAAAAGTATACGTAAATTTTGTTACGGTAGCTTCCTTTTTGCCGGCTCTTCGTGCACCCTGACTTGAAGCGTGGAACGCGGACCACATTTCCACACGTTCCCATCCTTGTCGAGAATACTCGCGCTCGCCGTGACTTGATATTGTCCGCCGCCAGTATTAGTGTTGTTGTTCACATTACCAGTGGTACTCGCGCATGCTGTTATTCCCGTCCCCGGACTTCCGAGCGAAAGTAAAAATTCGCAAGCGAAGAACTCGCGATGCGGTATAACGGTTTGTTGCAACTCGTTCGCGTTCGAATCCTTACAATAAAACATGTTCACGGATATTTCGTAAAATATCATAATAAATGTGAAATTGTTTGACGTTGTGAGGCGTCGTAAAGAATCGATTCTTACCTTTTGATCCGAATTGATTTTCGATGGTGGCATGGTGGAAATAGAAATACAAACAGCAGCAACGGAGCGATAAAGAGAAGCTCGCCGACCATGTCGCAGTACACCTTCAACCTTTAATGCTAGCTGACTACCTTGAGGAACAGATACTGGTTCTCCAAGAACACGCGGCTGTGGCGAAACGGACAACTTAACGCTGGTCGCTTGCAAAGCTTGGAAATAATACCGTGGTATTGGTAATCTCATTTTTCTTCCAGCCAGCAACATGACTTGCGAAATCAAACAGTTTACACGCGAATGACTGATCGCGGCAGTCTTATTTTCATCTATCCATAGGGGCGCTAGTCGACGCAATTCCGTGCAGCAACGAGCCAACTGACGCATTTCTACGGTATCGCCAAAATCAAAGTTTACCTCGCTTTGATGGTATGTGCAGATTCCCGATCCGCCACACACACGTTCGACGCTACTTGCAAGTAAGCGACACATTTCTTGCAATCTGTTCACGCGAAGTAAAGGAAATATACGTTGCAAACGTAAATTAGACATTTGATATTTATCGGTAAAGAACATTGCGATGTTAATATTCAACAATTGAACGGACAATAAATTTAGAATCTATACATTCGTGAAGGATACGCTTTTATGTTCGCCAACGAACCGGGATCAGCATCGAAAGCTGATTGGTAAAGCTTTTGATAATTTTCTGCGCAATTTTTTAACTCTTGAGCCGATTTTCTCAGCTAATAAAAATATATCACTTTGATGATGTTTGGTGACGCTGATAATATGTAACAATAGTTATAAACAGAAAATGAAATACCTGATGAGTAACACGTCCATACCGTTGAAGATCATCTTTCGTAGCGAGAACCACTGTAACTGCAATAGCAGGTGGTGGTGCAGTGCAAAGAGATCTGAAACATAATTATATTTACTTATTTAGATATCTTTGTAATTTGTTATGTAAATATACTTCATACAATACCTGCACGAATGTAAAAGTTGAACAATTGCTTGGAGGAATTCACAACGGAGTTTCGAATACTCGCTAGCAAATTGTAAACTTCGCAATGGCGTGCTAGCAGCTTTTAACGAAGCACACGCACTTGCATACCGCGCAATAGCTCCGCTTAGCTTCTCCACGATATGTACTCTGGCTTTACTTTCTACTTCTTCTGTCTTTTCCCTGCAAAAACAAACGACATTTGAAAAATTAATACAAATGTGTAAAATGATTGGTGCATCAAAAATAAGTAATACGCACATAAGATAGCTTTCAGCTTTTGTGACTAATTCCAAACCAGATAACCAGAAGTGTAATTGCTCGGACGCTACTGTTTCTTTTAAGCTTCTGAATATTTGAGTTGCTATAGTGTGATGACCGTATCTTGCAGCGCTACGTGCAATTCGATACTTCGCCCAACCATCTACGTTTCTAATAACTTCTTCTACCGCTTCCATGCATTCTGTATTCCATTCATAGCCCCCAGCTACCATTTGAAAAAGTAGCGTGCATAACATCACCTTTAAAAAGAATTTTATATTATTTTTATTCAACAATTCATTTATATTATGTTTACATTGCAATCTTACCTTTGCATGCACGTGCAAAGTCTGTTTAAGTTTTACCAATATATCTGGTAAAAGGGGAAGTAATGTATTTTCTCCTAAACTCCCAATAGCACCTAAAGCTTCACACAAAGCAACTGCCTGTTGTTCACTTTGACCACTCTCTGTATTAGTATTGAAAAGTGTGCTGCCAATAGCATCAACAAATACTGAACAATGAGTGGGCTGTGCTCGACACAATTTTACCGTTGAACGTAGACATACTCTTAATTGACGAAGATATTTGTCATCCAAAGCTAACAATACAATTAAGGATTCGAGACAAGATACAACATCTTGTATTCCATACGCTGGTAAATCTTCTTCGTAGCTATAAACAAAAGATTGTTATTCAAATTTTGGATTGTCAGGCTTGTTCTTCGTAAATAATACGGTACTATCGAATACGTACCAGTAACATGCAACTCTGGCTAAAATTGTAATTGCTTTCACTGCAACAAAGGGATTAGGGGAATAACAAGCATTTACACATAAAGATAAAAGGGGATTTCCTTCTTCTCTGTTTGCATCACATGTTACTGCACTTTGACTGAGTACCTAAATTGGATAATTTTACGAATTTATTGATAGATTTTCATGCTTATAAACATTTTCTTTTTGATTAATGTTTGACAAATAATTGGTAACCTCGATCACATCTAACGTTCGAATGAGGAGATCTTTATTGCCAGCACCATCTTGTAAGAGTGTTGTAGTACTTTCTAAAATATCGAATCAAATAAATCTCTGTTTATGTTGTACAAAACAATGCACTTATTTTATTTACCTATTAAATTATTAAGGGCACCTTGTGGCCACAGATGTGCCCCTTTCCTTGCTAAACTATGTAATAGATACAAAGAATGACGTTTGATAGATAATCTTGGATCATCTTGAAGGTAACGTAAAAGAAGTGCAACTTGTTGTGGAATATCGATTAATGTTGCAGAAGCTAATGTACTTAAAGCACTCAATGTAACTCTAACAAATTCAACTGCTGGATAACTAGCAAGAAGCTCCATGCATAGTTCATTTACCTTTAATAAATTTATACTTGAATATTTCAATACACTGAAAATATATAAAAGTCTCCATGATTTTACATACCATTGAAGCTGTAAAAGTATCATGGTGCATATATTGTAAAATAGGTATAAGCTGTAATTTCATTGATGCTGGTGTTGCCTGACCTCTGATCATGTCAGATATTTTACTGCACATAGAAACAGCAAACAATTTTGATTGCGCAGCAAACATTTGTGCAGCATATATTGCTGCCTCGACTTCGACCGAATCATGAGAGTCTAATGATCTTCTTATACTGTGATGAACCTTTACAAATCAATCCTTTAGTTTGAATCTTTGATATGTTAGAAGATACGCATTAATGAGCATTGATTCTTCACCTGTTGTCTTTCTGGAATGATACCAGCTACACTACCTAATGTACGTAAAGTCAAAGCCCTAGCAACTGGATCATTGGAATGTATCACGCTATAAATACGCCTTACAAATTCATCGACATTCAAGATTTTGTCTAGATGCTTTTCACTTTGTTGACACACTCTAAGAACCCAAACACGTAAAAAATTACTGCCAGTGCGAAAAACTTCAGCTAATTTTAATAAGGAAGAATTTATTAGTATAGGAAAAGGATATTTCTCAAATAGCCGAGGAAATCGCACTATAGCTTCACATTGTTCTCCAATTTTTGTGGAACGTAGACCTAAAAGAATACTTTTTAAGAATACATATTCAAAACAATAAAATTTGGAGAAATATTTATTTCGAACGAATGGTAATTAAAAATTGAAACATTATAAATTTTATAGTGCTCTATACTAAAACATGCATCACAAATCAATATTGAAACTTATTGAAATCCTATATAGTAATACAAATGTGTAGCCGACAAGTTCTTTATTAATACTTTTTATATACATATTTGTCAAATTCTCAGTACAATATTTCATTAACACCGTAAAAATATCGATTAAAGGTTATATTAAAGAATGTAAACACACCTTTGTCTAATTCTATGAGAGCTGTATTCGCATCTTGCTCTGGTTCACCAAGCCCAGTATCATTAAATGCGTTCATCCGCATTCCAATCATTCTGTTTATAAGTTACTTGTCAAAATACATTAAACAAAAGTGAAATTAATTGTCTTCGAAGAGCAGCCCAGTGCCCAGTGTGGCCAGATTTGGTATAATTGAGTGTATAGACGGCAACACTAGTAACGACGAATTTCCTTAGCGTTTAACGGAGTGGTGGGGAAAGCCAACATAACCTACTACACGGGCCACATGTTATGCGAGGTCAGCATTTGACGCAATTTTAATTCTAAGTCGATTAGACATAAACCTCATCACGAATTTTAAAGTTAAAATTCTTTTTACTTTAAAATCCTCCAAAATATACGCATGAAATTTCAGGGCAACATTTCTAACCTCACGTTGCGCTCTATGTTACTAACTGAAGGTTTGAAGTTAGGGTTTGTTATGTTAGAAAAGTTAATGTTAATGTTTTTGTTAATTCTAGCCGTTGTAAACTAAGAAATACAGCTCTTTAGAAGATATGGAGAACTCTGACTTTATTCTTACTATTTATTAAACAACTTTTTCGTATCAGTCTCCTAGGAATAAAACAGTCTAAATTTTTTGCACAGACGAGGTATACGAGTAGACCTTTCATGCAATGTATTTTTTCGGCCCATTTTTATGAGGCCTTGAAACCCCATTACCATTTTCGTGTCATTCGCAACGTTACCAACAGATTCAGAAATGAATTTTACTCTCTTCCATAGTCAACTCACATGCATTTACGCAACCACAGACGAGCTATATGCCTCGTCTGTGGTAAAGGTAGGTTCTGTATGCGTTCATGTGCAATTCCCGACTGTTGGAAAACTAGAAGTGCAAGCGCATCGAGTACGCTGCACTTCTGTTAGATGTCGCGGATAAACTCCACCATTTACCCATTGCACTCCAATGGTGCAGCTACGATGGTTCAATTTTCTGAAACGATCTCATCGCCTTCCTTTATTACATATATTAATTTTCAGTTACTTTTTGCTTCTTTAAAATGCCTGTCCTTGGGTTTATTTAATTTTTACTCTCCATACTCTTCCCAATTTCACTCAACCAATATCTCTACCTTTTCTCGAAACTTTCACACGTTGCTTTACCTATTCACTTCCGCTCTATGCTTTCGATCCCCTCGCAGGTACTATGCTAATATTCCCACTTTATAAAGCTTGTTCCATTCTCTGGATTTTCTTATCTAGCATTTCCTGTCGTATATTTCACTCCACTTCGAAGTGGCTGATGATCCTCCATCGCCCTATCTTCTGCGTCTGCCATTTACTCGAAACCCTCCAACGATCTCATACTTTCGAAGAACCTATCCTCCGATCCTCGACGTTTCCCAAACGAAACGTTGACCAGAAGTCGATCGAAACGTTTATCAACGGTAGCAGTGTCTTCTCCTCGAGCTGGCGCATGCTAGGGGTCTGACACTTCCCTCGATCCCCGATATCACCGGTGGAAGGGGGGAAAAAAAGTAATATGTATCTGGCGGTCGGGAACCAGGAAGGATCTGGCGAAGTCGAAAGAAACACGGCGAGATCGCGGCGGTTTCCTCGCTTGGCGAACGCCGACGCCAGCATCCGCGAAACGAGCGTCCGTCTTCGGCCGATCGAGCGCCCCGATAATCCGGGCTTACGATTTACCGTCATTCGCGGATCGCCACGGCGTGAACAGCAGCGAGATAGAAACCCTCTGAATCGTAGCACCGATAGAGGCACGGTTGCGTTATGTTGCCGCTAATTTGGATTTATGTTCGCATTCGCACGTCGTGCCCCGTCTCTCGACACCTCGCGCCGCCTCCGACACCGACCGATCGGAGATCGGCCGCCCCCCTTTTTCCACGTTTTGCAGAAAATTTAGCGGCCCGTTGCCGGTCTCGCCGCGGGAATCCTGCGATTCCAACTGCACACGCTGGGGAACGACGACACGACACCTTGTGGACGTTACTCTATTATTATTAGGGTACCTTTCATCTTTAAGCTCTTGTCAAATTAATTGCAAGATTATTATTGCAATAGAATGTATACATACTTGATTTAATATGTAGGGGGATGCTAAAAAGATGTGGTCTAAATTGTATTTATAAGTTAATCTAACATATTTTACATTGTGGATGTACGATTTCTTCGAGAGGACTTGGAAGAAATAAAATGGCCGACATGTAGTCGTAACAGTAAAGGTGTATTAAATTTAATGAGACTCCTATTTAAAATGTGTAAATGGACGATAGTTTGTTATTATTAGGGGACCTTCCACCTTCAAGCTTTTGTCAAATTAATTGCAAGACTATTATTGTGATAGAACTTAAACAAATTTGATTTAAAATACCGAGGTGAAGCTAAAAGAATGTGGCTTACACCTAACCTATTTTACATCGTGAATTTCTTCGAAACGGCTCAGAAAAAATAAAATGGCCGACATGTATGTAGTCTTAATAGTAAAGGTGTATTAAATTTAATGAGACTCCTATTTAAAATGTGTAAATGAACGATGGTCTATTGCTATTAGGGAAAGTTTCTTAAGATTTTCACAATATTTAAAAATTGATTTTAAACATTTGAAAGCATTTTGGTGCAACTTTTAATTTTGTATTGCCACGAAAGTAGATCACGACGACTATCCAGTGTTCTACATTTAGAGTTTAGCTACGAGCTTGAGGCCATTGCTGTATTTGGAAACATGATGGACAAGCAGCTGCAATTATCATGTGATTTCATCTGTAACAAATTGTCGTTTATTGTAAGAACAAAGGAGACACGGAGGCTGAGCACAAGACGTCTTTAAGGTTTCCGTGAATTTTTCTAGTATCAAAAACGATTAAACAGAAGAAATTACATTTACACCGCTTACTCTACGCGAGACTCTAATAGCGATATGAGTTATAGTCATCGTTCCTCTGTTTCCAGCGAACTTTCTAGCTTGTCAACGTTTGTATATTCTCAGAGAATCCCTGACAATTTTTCAACGGGCCAACACGCTTTTCAATCGTGCATGGCTCGTGTGACTATCGTTGGTTTCCTAGCGTTCGAAGTTGCACGTGCATCTTTAGAACTCGGATACCCACCTTTACATTATTCATATGTAGATATTGAAAGCATAACTGTTGCTAGCGCAAGAACCATCGGTGGCACGAACGTGACTATTCAATTTTGAAACGTAGCTAAAGACGAATGAAACGTATGCACTATGTAGACGAGGAATTGAAACGTATTCCCGTTTGTACTCTGCCAGTGCTGACTAGAGCTTCACGACATCATCGATTGAATGGAATTCTCGACATACTGGTGTATTTTATAAAAAATTCAGAACAATTTTTTCGCTATAAAGTTTGAATAAAAAATAGATAAATAGTCGTTCGAGTTACTAGCTGTCATCAGCGGGGTAACTTTACACGAAAAGTGCAGCGCTGGTGAGTCAAAGGGGTAACTTTGCGCGATAAATTGCGCACCATCGACGACAAGAAGATGGCACGCAGGCGAGGGCGGCGCGAAAAAATCAAAAATCCGATCCGGACGGCACCGTGGTAGCGAGGGTACCGGTCGAGGTCGTCATTACCCGTCATTATCATGGCTCCGCCAACCACTGTAATCCGTATTTCATTTTCTGCCGGTTTTTTGTCCCTCCGGATCCCTCCACCCCCCATCGACCGAGTGGTTACGGCCCTAGATTACAGGCGTTGGTGGACGACGACCGATAGTTTCCGCGATAGAAGTTACCTCGGGTGTACTCGGCGGTTTGCACCTTCCACCCTTCCTGTCTCGAACCTTTTCCGCGATGTCGCAACCCGTCAAACAGAGTTTACGAGCCGACGTTCGCGATCAAACGTTGCATAAATAAGTTTCACTCCTATTTACTCGATATCCACCTCTTAGTTTCTGATTCTAGAAAATTAAAAGCAAGTTTGACAAATTTCGAAAGGTGTAATCGTGTCATTAGAGTGGTCTTTTATATCACTCGATTATTTTTTACGCGATTATACGGCATCAAAATTGTGTTTTTTCGAAGCATCTGCTCGATATCCACCTCTAAGTTTCTGATTCTCTCAAATTAAAAACAAGTCCGTTTGCCAAATTTCTAAAGTTATAAACGTGTTATTACAGTGATCTTTTATATTACTCGATCATCTTTTATGCGATTATATGGCTTCAAAATGGCGTATCTTCGAAACTTCTGCTCTATGTCCATCTCTTAGTTTCTGATTCTGTCAAATTAAAAGCAAGTCTCTTTGACAAATTTCTAATGTTATAAACGTGTTATTAGAGTGGTCTTTTGTATCACTCGACCATTTTTTACGCAATTATACGGCTTCAAAATGGCGTTTCTTCGAAACATTTGGTCTATATCCACCTCTTAGTTTCTGATTCTTTCAAATTAAAAGCAAGTATCTTTGACTAATTTCTAAAGTTATAAACGTGTTATTAGAGTGGTCTTTTGTATCACTCGATCATATTTTAATCGATTATACAGCTTCAAAATGTCGTTTTTTCGAAACATCTGGCGATATCCATCTCTCAGTTTTTGATTCTTTCAAATTAAAAGCAAGTATCTTTGACAAATTTCTAAAGTTATAGCGACTGTACGACTTCTAAATGGCGTATCTTCAAGTCACCTGCATTTAAAATCGAACGTTTATAATTGTTTTTCGAATTTAAACTACGAGCTACAAAATTTAATATACTTCATTCCTTTTTAAAAATTAAACATATTTAAAAAATATAAAACTAGCACAGTTTCTATATAAACAATTAAATCATTAAACAATCCCATTCTACTCAACTGTCCCAATACTGCCTTTTATCTACTCTATTTAATATTTAAAATAAAAAGTATATTAGAACAGGAAACTGCACAGACACGTATTAGACTATTTATCTGTAAATCGTCGAGTAACTTTGTCAAACGTGAAAATCGAATTTTTCGAAAAATGGGCAAGGGCAAGGGCAAGGGCAAGGGCAAGGGCAAGGGCAAGGGCAAGGGCAAGGGCAAGGGCAAGGGCAAGGGCAAGGGCAAGGGCAAGGGCAAGGGCAAGGGCAAGGGCAAGGGCAAGGGCAAGGGCAAGGGC